TTAGTTACTTGACGTTAGTTTTGGGTCGGGGGGGGGTTGAAGGAAAGAAATAGACATTCTTGGCTTAGTCATTCTCTTGCTCTTTCAGGGATAAACTAAGCAATCTAAGAACTGCCAGTCTGCATTGAATAAATGGACTCTTTGGATTTAAACAAACATGTAATCAAAAGCCTAACTTTTTGTCAATGTTTGTAAAAATATTCCAGACAATGGCTTTCTAAATCAACTCACCTTGTTTTCTAGAGGGCAGGTTATTGTAATGGGAGACTTCACATACTCCAATATCTGCTGAAAAACTGACTCAGCTAAGAGTGGGACATCCAATAGATTTCCAATCTCTCTTGCTGACAATTTCATTTTTCAAATAAGTCTTCTGTCCTGAATTTAATCCTGCCCATCAGAGAAAAATTGGTATGGAGTGAAAGTATCAGACTCCTTGGAGGAAAGCAGCCACCCCATGTTGGAGTTCAGAGTAATTGGGGAGGAAAATCTGAGAAGACAGGCACGTACTTTGGAACTGAGGAAAACAGATTTTAATGAATTCAAGTGAAGAGTGATAACATACTACAATGTAGTTTGAAAATCTACAGGAGGGACAGGAGAGCCTGGAAAATGATATATGAAAGCACAGGCACAAATGAGCTCCATGAAAAGGAAAATGGGAAAAGCTTTAAGTGGTCTATATAGGTGAATAGTGAGTTCACTGATAAGCTAACAAAATGGAAGCCTAACTAAGGAGGAATATAAACTAGGAGTTTAAGCCCAAAGGGAAGGAGACAAGAAGCTATAGTCAGAATGAAATGAGCTTGAGGAAGACTAAATCAGTTGAATTACTTGTCAGAATGCTGAAAGAGCTATCAGGAAAGATCTCAAAACTGCTGACTAATCTTTGAAAATGTGTGGAGAATTAGTGAGATGCTGCAAGACTGAAGAGGAGCAAGCATAGTGGCAATATTCAAAAAGGGGAAAACCTGGGAAACTACAGAACAATTTACCATTTATCCTGGCCAAGATACTAGAACAAATTGTCAACTACCATGTTGGTAAATGTTTAGAAAAAAATGCTACCGTTACTAAAGCCAGCATGTGTTTATCAAAAATAAGTAGTGTCATATTAACCTTAACTCTTTTCAAAAGACAAAGGGACTTGCTTTGTAGACCAAGGGAATGCTGGATGTAGTAGAGCTTATTTTCCTTAAAGTATTTCACAAGTTCTTCTGGACAAGTTGGATGTGTAGCTGAGCCCATATCATTGGTTATGTTAATTGTTGTGGTAACTGGTTTTTCTTGGCGGCTATATATGTTATTTATAATTTTGGTATACTGTTTTTATCTTGTTTTAAGTGTTGTTAGGCACCCAGAGTTATTGAGATGGGCAGCCATATAAATTGACTTTGACAGGGTTGAATATTGTGCCAATCCAAATAGTTTTAAAGTGTAACATAGGAATCTTTTTTCTCAATAGGAAAACTCAAAACTCAAATGTATAGGTACAAGCTTTGGGACAGCTGCATTAAGGGAAATACTGAATGCAGAACACAGGAAATAATAGTCCTTGGTGCTCTCTGAACTTAGTTATTTGCTTGCAGATGTTTCATTACCCAACTAGGTAACATCATCAGTGATAGTGAGTATGGGTTTTGCTCCCTGTTTATATACAGTAGCTTGCCCTGCCAATGTTGGCTGGCGTTTGGTTTTCTTCTTGGTAATTTCTTAATTAGGGTATTGTTTTCTGCTTGTTTGTTTGTCTCCTTAGTAGTTCCTTGATTAAGGTATTGTTTTCTGCTAGATCATTTGTCTGGTGTTAATCCCTGTTTATCTGGGTATTGGCTGCTGAAGAGGATGTGTTCTGGTCTTTTTGTGTCCTTTTTTATTGTCTCTTTTGAATGGTGTGTAAATGTGGTTTATCTCTGTGTGTCTATTGATGGCTGATGTGTCTGAGTGCCAAGCTT